CCCCAAAACCCCAAAACCCCAAAACCCCGAGGTGTGGTTTGGGTGTTGAATTTAGGAAGTTAAGAGAGTTTAGGGAGGATTTTTGGAGGGTGGGGTTTTAGAGGTGGTTAGGGCTCTGGAGGGGTGGGATTTTAGGTGAGGGGATTTTTTTGCGGTTTTCTGAGTAGAAGTGTTCAGATTCGCTAGATTTGATATCGTGGAGGGTGTTATATTTTTCTTGGGAGGAGGTTTTGCTGTGAGATCTTTGGTAAGGGGAGGAAGAATTACTGGATGGAGGCTGGAGGCTTGTTGTCAAAGTGAGGGCGAATAGAAGTGGTGATATTTTGGGAAGTTATCTATAGGATTAGTAGAAAAATACCTTTCCTGAAGAGTCGCAGTGAATTTCTTCTACAAGCAAGTTAAGTAAAGACAGATACAGGAAATCTTTGTTTTATAAATGCCGATGTATAAAGATTTTATGACAAATCTGGATTCTTATAAAAATGATTTTGTACCAAAGAACTCAAGCCCACACTATATCACAAAATACTCTCTCTAAATGATCAAAACTTATTTTTTTAATCTTACCAGTATTTCATATCTGCTTTCCTTTGCTATTCTGGTACTTATATAATTATTCAATTCTACTTACATCATTTCGCCTAAGGATCTTCTCTCTCTCATTTTCTCACCCAACTAACATCTGAACCCATTTTTCCAGTTGTAACGAGTCTAGGTTCATATTAAATTGATGACTTAAAGAAACTCCCTGTATTAGATCCAGACCCCACCCTGGCCCAATTTAAATTACGGAGAATCATATTGGGGCTAATTCTTAATAAAGTTTACTAAAAATAATAAATCTGAGAATATTTGATCATCTACCACTCACAAGATCTAAAGCTCTGCCCAATAACCTCAATCACTTTAAACATTCTAAGGATTTCCTTAAAATATAAATAGGAAAATTATGTTTATTCAAGCATAATTAGGATAAAAATATACTTAATTCATCACAATTTTCCATTTAAAGTTCAGCTGAGCTAATTAAAACTGCCTTTTCGTCAGCTCTCTGAAGTAATTTCATATAAATCAATAATCTGTGCTTTGTTTGACAATAAAATGAGCGAAAAGTTGGGGAAATGATTGCTGACTTAAAAATTGTGTATTGCTTAGAATAAAAATGTTTTAAAACATACTCATCTTTCACCCTGTAAATTTTGTTTTGAAATCTCTTAAAATTGGGTTTATAAAGTCCCTTATCTGCTTTGAGGGAACTTTATGCTTGTTATACAGTTGCTTCAGATAAATAGATTGTTTTGGATCCATCTACACATCAAAATAATTATGAGGAATTAGTGAGCAGATTAAATGGTTAAACTTATTGACTGAAGAGGTTTAAAAATTGGTTGAAACTATCAAGAATAGAGTATTCGTTCATATATTATTTAAGATTTTCACACAAAAGGAACATTATTATTAGTGATTGTTCATTTATCTTCGGTTTAGTTAATAGCATATCCTATCTATATAATTTCGATTTCTGATTCTAGTACATACATTTTCAAAATTTATGATAAACTCTTTCTTTTAATTAAAAGAATAACTGAGAAGTTTTCTCTCACCACCTCCAACCAACTAAACAAGAAACCTCTCCTCTATAAACCAACTATCCCCTCTAAACTACACCCATCGATCTACCCATCTCTCCTCCACCCCCTTCACATCTCTCTGCTTCCCCTCAACCCCAATCTTCCCTCCCACACAAATTCTCCACAACAACCAGCATCCATATTCCCTACAACAATATGTCTTCACCAATAGCAAAATCTTACTTCAGATTTTGAATCTCTGTAGCCCTTCTTTCTAGGCCGAGCTCCTCCGACTTTTGACTCTTCAGATTGTTTCGAAAACTGAAGATATTCAGTTGGAACTGAGAAAGATTGGGAATGCATTTCAACGGATGATGGCTCAAGAAGGTCTATTTTTAAGAGGGAAGGTACTTGGATATGCTTTCGAAGAATCTTCGATTATTGAAACGTAGCCGAATTCTGAACTGTAGCGTTTCACTTGGGATTTTGAAGGAGGAGGTTTTTCGTCTTTTAAGTGGGCTGAGATTATGTGAGGGAGGTCTTCGATCTTTTTAAGAATTTTAATGTGGCTTTTTGTGATTTTCTTTTTGAAATTTTCGTCCTATTATTTTATGTAAGATGTTTGATAGAAGAAGTAGTTGTTTCATATATAGTAAATTTATCATCAGAAATATTTCTACATCTTTAAAAACAACATCAAACAAATCATACCAGATAGTCATCATGCTGAATTCCAACTTCTTTGACACTTTGTGAGTCTGATTGATATACTCTCTTTTCTCTCAGCTCAATTTTCTCAATTTCCCACTTCAATTCCTCATTCTTAATCTGGTTCTTGACGATCTCCTTTTGCAATTGTTCAAATCCTTTAAGTCAATCGAATTTTTCAATAAAGTAAAAGTTCAATAATGTTAACTGATTTATAACTTCTTTTAGCTTTCGGTTCTTCAGTTTTCAAATACCTCATTTGGATGTAAGAATTCTCCTTGACGAAGATTCTCTCAAATTTTCACCTGTAAATGGTTAGGAAGAAAATATACTGTAGTTTCTTGGTACAGGATTTCTAGAGACCGATCCATCTAGTCTGCCATTAACAAATGACCCAAATGAATTTGTGTCTTTATTTTCAGCCTAAGCAAAAGATTATAGATAAGTTTTGGCTAAAGAAGTAAATTGTTCAAACAGTTTCATTTTATATTCAGGTCAATGCCTTTAAAAGTTATACAATCTCAGAATTTTCTGCACAATGTTTGCTCAAAAATATGCATTTGAACTTGTAAATTTTTCTTGATAAATTTGATATGAAAGAGCAAATAAATAATTGTAACAGCTCTAAACAAAGTATCTGAATGGCTGTATTTCTTGTGCTGAAAAGTAATATGTGTTAATTTGTTAAAGTTTAAGTACCTTAACCGGACTTGAACCAACATGGTCAAAATCTATAAAGAAGTTTAGATTGATCAAATCAGCAAGGGTTGGTATTTTACTTACTTGTAACACTAATTTTGCCAAAATTTAAGCTGGATAAAGTTGAAAATTTGGAGCGATCATTTGTAGACTATTTGTGAGCAAGGAGTTTACTGTCATGGTACTTGAGAGGATTTTAGTAGGTGATTTAGAGATTCTTATAGGTGCCCTTGGGATCCCTTTCTTTTTTAATATTTTAAATTTTGATTTTCTATATATTAATAGTAATGAATCGCAGAAATAAAAATTTATCCAAAATAATAAACAATAAAAAACTCCAAAAATCCATCATTCTTTCTCCAAAATGCACTCTCCCTCCCCCACAGAATCACTACAAATTAACCTATGCCAACCCTCTGTCGCTTCTCTTAACCCAACTTCCAATCTCAACCCCCAAATCTCCTACATAAACAAACTGAGCCCTAAATTTTCAACCCCAGCCTAAACTCCTCCAATCCCACTCACCCACTCACCCTCTCTCCTACTCCTTCTAAACTCCCTTCTCGACCAAATCGAGCCCTCGTAGCCCAAATCTTTAAAAATTGCTAAATTTCCTAAAATTTCTCTACCAGAGGGAGGTTTGTTTACGGTGTAATATAGCTGGAAGTTCTGGAATAATTTTTGGGTAAGACTAGGTTTAGAGGGATTTGGTAGGGAAGGAGTGGGGTGTGATTGTGATGAGGGACGGGATGACTGGTTGGTGGAGGGAAGGGAAAAGGGAGGTACCTAACTTTGCCTTTGAGTTTGATTGTCTTGCATCCCTGAATCTAAAGATTAGAGCTCGGCTTACTTGAACGGGATTTGGGAGTGATGAATTAAGCAAGTTTTTAGAATTTTTTCTTTGCTTTAAGGTCTGAGAAAAGCTATAGAAATTAGAAAAGGTTAATAAGAGACTTTAAGAAATCTTGAGCTATGAAAAAGAGAGAAATATTCATTCTAAAAATAAAATCCAAAAACCCATCCAAATTTCTAAAAAATTACCCCCACACTCCCCCTCTAGTCCCCTAAACCTCCTTCCCCCAATCTCCCCTTTCCCTTACCTTCTCCCCCTGCCCCTCCAAGCCCCACTAAACCTACCACTCCCCACTCACAATCCAGAAGTAACCACGACCAAAATCCTTCCAAGAAGGATCCCAGATTTTAGAAAGAAATTATCTGGAATATTATAAATAAGGGATTTTGAAAAGAAGGAACTTGGCTATAGAACAAATTGATGAGAAATAGAAGGAATGGTGGCTAGGAAGGGGTGGTAGTGAGGTTGAGAAGTGTGATTTGGGGATTTAGAGGTTGCTGATGGTAGTCTTTATTGTGAACAGTAAGCCAGAATTGAAGAATATGAGGATTTTTTGTGAAAATTTTTAACTTAGCGGAAGATTTTCTTGGTTGAGCTCTAAGGTTTAAATATAATTACTTTTTATCAATAAATCTTAATACTACTAGTAATCGTATCTAAAAGCTAGTGGTTCTAATATTTTCTTCCGCTTATCCAAAAATTTCAGTAAACAAATTGAATGTCCCATTCCATTCACCAAACTCCACCCTCCAACCTCCAACCTCTAAACCCCAATACCCAACCCTCTCCAATCACCCACAATCCCACTCCCCCTCCTCCCATATCTCCACCATTCACCTTCCTCAACCCCTAAATTCCCCCTCTTCACCCCCAAAACCTCATCCCCACAGTCAAAATCTCCCTTCACCCTACTCCTAAATCCCCAAAATCCCTAATCCTCCAAAAATCCCACTACCAAAAATAGCCCCTTACCTGTTGTGCATAACCCTTGTCTTCTGCTGTAGGATATTTATTTTCAATTATGAAATCCCTTCACGGGGTTTTGGGGTTTTGGGGTTTTGGGG